TTGCCAAGTCCAACTTTGTCGGTGGGAGCGGCGTTCTCGAGGTCCAACCCCAAAAAAACCTGGGATCCGTTACGGTGGCGTGACCTTGTTGTTGTTGTTGTTGTTGTGGTGGTGGTGGTGGTAGTGGTGGCGGCGGCGGTGGCGGCGGCGGCGGTGGTTGTTGCTGTTGGTGTTGGTGTTGTTCTTGTTGTTGATGATGCGGTTGGTAGTTGTGGTGCTGCCGCTGGTGCTGGTGATAAAGTTGTTGATGTTGGTTTTGTCGTTGATGGTGGTGATGGTGCCATTAGGTTTATGATTGTTGTTCCTCTTATTGCTGTTCTTCCAGCTGCTGTTGTTGTTTGCATTACTATTTTTCACAGTATTGTTCTCCCTGTCATGAGTCGTCTTGCTGATGTTGTTGTGTCGTCAGACGATGATTTTTGTTAATGAACTGCCACCACCACCACAACCACCAACAACAGCCGTAGCAGCAGCAGCAGCAGCAGCAGCATCATGATGATGTTGGCGTTCGTGGCGATAGTGGTGATTCAGCTGTAGTGCTGGTTATTGCTGGATGATTAGAAGGTTACGGCCATCAAGATTCTCATAGCCGCATGTCATCTCCTTATTCATCTTCTGCCGGCTTCCATCGTCCGCTGTCGTTGGATGATCGGCTGCATTGCACTCACCCGGCACCCCCTGCGACCCTGCTTCAGACGGCTGCATTGCATGTCAAGCGGGCACTGAGCCATTCGACAGGCACTCCGATTCGGTGGCCACGGCTCTGCCGCCGCCGAGCTCAACAAACTAGCAAACGTGGCCTTCGCTCACAAGGCTCTGCACCCGGCGCTGCAAAATTGTCTTGTTGCGGGGCCAAGTAACCAGCAAAGGTCGTTTTGAAGATCCAGAGTGATTAGCCAAATTAGCCAAGGCTTACGTCCCGCCCACAAGCGGGTCCGTGCGTAGCAGTATGTAGCGGTGCAGGAGGAAAGAACCTGTTGCATGCAACTTCCACTCAGGGCAGGCTGACAGTACAAAGGCTATGTCAGTATCATGCCAAAGCCTGCGGCTAGGCATCATGAGCATGTCTAGCTCTTACTTAGTCGTACTGTACTCCCCGAGTCACAACTGGATCGGGCTCATGCATTACGCCTGACATTGTTGGTTTAAGCCTTTACAGAACGTGCAAAGCCCAAGGCTGTCTGTAGAGGTCGAAACCATCCAGCACCTCTATACGAACAGCCTATATACTGAAACTTCAGGTCCTGACCTAACAACCTCCAGGTGGGAGTCTTTCTACAGGGTCTGCGCACGAAACCCTAGCGGTAGCTCTGAAACTTCTATCGATTCTAATCATTGTCGAACCTGACAGAGCTCCAGGATGGTCGGGTGGAGGAGTCCTGGGATGGTAGCGGCTGGGTCGGCTACGTGGAGGCTCCGGAGAACTCCGAAATCGAAGCGATGGGTATCATGATGAGACCAGTGAAGTTGAAGACGCCTGCGTGATTTTCACGTGGGACTTATACAGTGCTTTTGTGGCGGTGGTAGTAGCAGTAGCAGTAGTAGTAGGAGAGCAGCAGCAGCAGCAGTAGTCGGAGTTGCAGTTGCAGTCGACGTCGTCGTCGTCGTCGT